GTCACTGTCATGGAGTCCATTCTGACTCCTTAGACATTAGGGAGATGCAAATCAAAACCACAACGTGTAACCATTACACCACCTAATGAAGCGATCCTAGTAGCATCTGAGTTGGTATTAAAGCTAAAGAGTGACCAACTATAACACAACTGTGGGTCTTTACTCAGCAGGCCAAAGCAGTAAGAAGGAAATCAAAATTCAGAAAGGAATCAAGTCTGTACAAATCAATATCTCATCCTCTCTGAGACTAACAGTAGATGACACCTGACAATTACTGCTGACTATGCTGACACAGGTCACTGACCCTGGATTGAACTGGAAAAAAATATGGAGCAAAACTCAAATGATTATTACAAATAACCAGGCAGATTGGAACAATAGAGACCACAGGACGCCTCAGACACTCTCTCAATCTAGCGCCAAGGCTACTCCCTACGCTACCCTGTCAATACTGCAGACGCTAACTCGCAGAAGGGCAAACCGAATAAAGCTATTGTCCCTATGATCATCATATGACTTAAAAGACCATCAGCAGGAGACCAAAAGGTCACCAAATCCTCCAAACCAAAGATGATTAGCTGGGGGGCATGGAAACAAGAGAACTAGAAGAGGAACCATGGGCCAGACTTACAGAGAACACTGGCACATTGTGAGACATGTGACCCGTGCCATTGAATCATTTGTCATTGGGACATTGCCAAATGGGAGCCTAAGCTTTCTGTGTAAGTTTGTAGTAACAGCTCAATTACATTTTAAAGGACACACACTCACACTCACACACACACTGAAGTTTTAGGGACTGAAGTGAGTCCGCACTGAAGTGAGGGAGAAAGGAACAGGCCACACAGAAGCCCTGATCAATTTTTTAAAAATAAAATACTTTTTTAAAAAGTTAACTCTATTTTAAACCAAGAGAAATCATGCTAGAGGACAATGTAGAACCTATTGAGTAAGCTTACTTCTTCTAGTGGATCACTATACTCTGTTGTTCTATGTCAAAGATTGGGTGCTCTTTCTGGAGAGGATGATGCTTCACTGAAGGCAGAAGATCATTTAATGGAAGGCATCATGGAATTTCTCCCCGTGGGCTGATGAGAGGAGCAGGTTGGGACACTATTTGGAATCCAGACTTTAGGGCGGATCACCGGGGCATGGACAGCCTTCGCCTTTACTCTGCTTTCTATGCCCGTAGACAATTACCATCTCAGACCTTCACAGGGCAGTTCTACCCCATCTTGCAGGATCACTAGGAGTCGGCATTGACTCGATGGCAGTGCTTTTTTCCCCCCCTCCCATGTGTCCTTGGGCATGTTTCTTCATGAAGCCCAGCTTAGTCTCCTCATTGGTAAAATTGAAGTTGAGAGGGCTCCACCTGCTGGATGAGTCGCTGTAGAGATGGGTCGTTTTAGATAATGCATGGGCAAAGCTGGGAATACTGCCTCCAGAAGCAAAGGAAATGCCCAATCAGTATAGCTCTTTGATAGTCTTATCCCAACTTCCCAGCAATTGATGTGTGTCTCTGGTCTCTGAACCTCAAATTCTTCTTCTGTGATTATACGAATTATAGCCATCTTCTTCAAGTACTCTAAAGAACTAAATGAGATGTGGGTACGTAAGCTTAACAAGCAATCACTTTGTTAAACCTGAGCAGTCTTGGAAGCACAAGGGGAAAAAACCATCTAACATGTTGTGTGTGGCACATAGAAAGTTACTTTCAACATAACTCTAACTATGAGTGCTATCACAGGGTTTATGAGAATGTTTTCTGCCCTAATTGATCTATTCAGTAGTTTTATCTGCCTTAACTATCTAGTGTAGAGTGACAGGTGCAGCAATCATGAAATCAATGTATTGCACAGGGTAACTGTGCTGAAACGGTCGTTTTCAAGTGCTAAAGAGCAACGATGCCTCTGGGAGGACTACTAAACCCCTACCCCAGCTGTGGTAATCTCAATCACTTCACCTGCCTGATGGAAGCTAGACGGGGAATATTGCAGAGCAGAGCAGAATTGATGCATGTGAATTTTGATGAGGTTGGGGGTCAATATTGAATGTACCACAGACATTGCTAGAGGAGAAGCGAATCTGTCTGGGAAGAAATACAACCCAAATGCTCCTTCGAAATGAGAGTGGCAGGTAGTTAAGCGGGAATCTCTACGATGCCCCGAGTGACCAGCAAGTCCGCTCTGGTGCACGCACGCCCCATGTGTTACCATGTAGAACTGCTCCATGGGGATTTCTGAAGGAATTGGACTGCTTACCGCAAAGTGGGAAGTTCGAAAGTACCACCCGCTCTGAAAGAGAAAGATGAGGCTTTCTACTCCCATCAAACAGTTACAGTCTTGGAAACCCATAAGGGTAGTTCTTCCCTGTCCTTAGGGTCGCTGTGAGTCAGAAATGACTCAATGGTAGTGGGTTATTCTCTCTCTCTCATTCTGAATATTAATGGAGGCAGATCCTCAGGCTCTCCCCCACCCCCCTGGTGTCACTGGGCTGTTTTGAATAACAGATGTTGATGTTAGCAGTTGAATGTACATTGCTTGCATTACCAAATGTCTTTTCCTAGAAGATTTCTATTAGTTGCTTTCTATCTCTGGTCTGTGGGATGTCCTCAGAATCCTTTCTGCCCTACAGTGACATGTGTCCTGCATGGCTCTCTCTTCTATTGGCATTGCAGCCATCACCATCCTCAGTAGGGTTTCCAAGACTGTGCATCTTCCCTTCTCCCACAGAGCAGCTTGAAGTGTTGAACCACCAACACTGCCTTTAGCAGTCTACCATTTGTTCCAACAGCACCACCAAGTCACTCTGAGCCACTACCATAGCATTCATTCATATGAAAGCTCTTTCAACATCTTTATGCCTTTTGGGGAAGACAGAAAGCAGACAGCTGTGTGGTTTCCTCTGCCGAGAAGATAGGGCTATCTCTACAAGAGATACTGTTTACAGTTTCCCTGATGTTAGTATGGTTCTAACAAGAAATCAACATTAAATAGGGGTTTCCTGGCTTTCTCCTGTAGGGTGACCGGAGCCCACATGTTCACTTAGTGTCTCAGCTCCTAGGTTTCTTCCTTTCCTTCCCAGATGATGTTTTAAAAATGTTCTTGAGGTGCTATGTTGATAGCAACAATTGAAAAGTACTCACATTTTCTTAACTTGAGCAAGGACACATTATCCCCTCCTCTTTCCTCTACAATGGTGAGACCGTGGCTCTGAAGGGATGAATTGGAGATTTAAACACGCATGCCAGGACTGAGGGTGACAAGTTGGTACCTTCTTCAAAGTAGCCCGTGGCTTTGTAAGCAGGGTGCTAACACCATCAAAAAACAATCCCTCCAGGAGGGATTGCCAAGATGACACTTCGGGGTGCCACGCTCAGAACCTCTTCACTTCTTATGAAACACCCTTGTTAAACTACACACACAGGACATGCACATATGTGGAAAACTCATCTTTATACATTCTAATGTTGGCTCAGGTTATTTGGTGGCAAAAGGTCAGAATTTGACCTGTGGAAAATGAAAATATCATTGACAGACCATGCAGGCAACTTTCACAATTTCTCTGTGAATTATACAGTAGAACTTAGCCTGCATTTCTTGAGATTTCTGAAAGTCTCCAGTCCACCAAGCTATTGCTTTTGCTTTACCCACCAGTTAGACAGTTATTCTACTTAGAAACTTTCTGCCAGAGAACCTAGAAGTCATCATCTATTGAAACTAGGAAAGATAAATGGAGGACATAATGAATTTAAGGCCAGCACTCGGTACCACGCTAAGCACGGAGCAAGCATAGAACTAACTGTAGCAAATGAGCAACATTCGTGGAAACACTACACAGCACATTTGGAAACAAAATAAATGCAGGCACTAGTTGGGATTCTCATTGACGCCCTTGTTGAAGTTTGCCTGCACATTTTTACTAGGGAATTTTATACTCTGATTTCTTGGATTTTGTAAGTACTTAAAGAATCCATGGACATTTTTTCCCTTGGTTGTCTAAAGCCAATAAATAATTTATGAATTATTTTCATCCAAAATTTGATTTTTTTTCTTTGCTGGCAAATGAAAACCCATTTTAATCCAACTTAAGTGCTCCCCATTCGGTTTAAATAAGAAAAAATAAGTAAACAATACATTACTTCCACATAAACCTGGCAGCTTCCAGATGTTTCCCATTTAGTTTAAATAATAATAAATTATTATTATAAATAAAATAATCATTAAAATAATGATTTAAATTAAAAAAATAAAAATGTGAAGGATCCGTTCCTTTTAATATCTAGAACACCCATGTAAAGAATAAAATCAAAGAATTTTCTATCCATCTTTCAAGATATTTGGTTCCAATATGCTACTTTGAATAGAAAACCAAGATGTCAGTGGCAATTTATTACAGCATGGGGTTAGGGTTCTTTTGCTTTCAATGATTTCTAGAAATCTTTAGAAATAAAAATTCAAATATTTACTGTGAAGTCATGGTACCTATTTCTGCTAGACAAGATTAAACGCTTCAATGATCACCAAGACCCTAGAGACTATCTGGCATATTCCAAGATAATGTTCCCTGGAATATCCAATAAATCAACCCTGTAATGTTATGACATGCTTTGTTAGTTTACTGAATCCAATGAGCACCCATTTCTGACATTAAAAGAGCTAACTAGGAGTTAGGACCCTAACTTTGTCCATTCGAGACAAAAGTACCCTGTTTCTCAGTACCAGGGATATGAACAGTCTCCTCGATTCACCGTGGCGCTTTCGAAACCTCTCTCCAAGCAGAAGTCCACTTCCTTCCACTTGTGCAGGTTCCCACATATCTCTGACACTGTCAGGGCTCCCATCGAATTAGCTCCTATTTGGTACACTGTCAATGTAACCAATAGTAAGAGCCAGTCGATCAACACAGGGCAAAGGCATATCTATTTGCAGGGCGCCTAAAGCTCCAGAGGCAGCTGGAAAAACAAATTCTTCCCAGCTACAAGCAGTAACGAGCAATACCTGTAGGACTTTGCAAAACGCAACCTCGTTTTGGATCTCGCCGATGGTGCTGGCACTGTGGCTCCCAAAGGATCCCAAACGAAAGCCATTTGCCAAGCGGGTGCCAAGCTGGCCTGGCGCAGCAGGAAGTCAGCGCTGGTGCAGGGGCTCGGGGCTGGAGGGCCCTGGCGGGAGCGCGGGCATTTCCTCTGTGTGCCGGGGGGTGAGCGCTGACAGCGAGGTGGCAGGCTAAATGAAGCAGCGCTGGACGGGATGGCCAAGACTTCCTGCTGCGTGACACTTGCCCTTTGCGACAGAGCTTGCTTCACTCAAGCCCTTATCTCATTATTCAAGTGAGAAACACGCCCTCGTAAATGGGCTTTTATATTTAGCCCTAAGTAAACAGCAAAGTCACATGGCGCTCCTGAAAAGCACAATGTATGTGCACGCGCTCACAGCCCCCCCCCCCCCACAACCACACCCCCACACACACACACACACACACACACACACACGCAGAGTGGGTCCGAGGGGAGCGCACAGTGGGTGGGTCGCCATACATCAAGGGGAAGGCCAGTAAGAAGAAAGAAAGTCAACAGAGGGCCTTTTAATAAAAAGAAATGAGTACACACATGTCGGTGCCTGCCTGTGGAAATTGGACACACGTTACTAAATTTCCCACAACCAGCTGCCGAATTCCAGTTTTCTGAGTTCAGCTTCTCCCAGATCTAATCGTCTCCAAAGTGCCTGCACCTCTCTGCGCGGCAGCCCGAGAAGAAAACAAGCAGATCACTTTCAGGGATGTTGGCAGCTTCTCCCTCAAGGAGATCCCGCCTCAACTTGGCGAGTGGATGTTTCCTGATCAAGAAGGATTTTGACCCAAACCATCTATTCCCTTGTCCATTCTCTCTTCCCAAGAAACACAGTTTCCCTCTCGGCAAGCCCTGGAAATCACTAGCTTTCGGATTAGATCAATGAAGCCAACCACGCAGGGCCCTGGCCGGGTTTGTGAGTCGAACCCTGTCCAGGGAGGCATGCATTTCACGGTGTCCTTCGGGAGTCGAAGGATGCCGTCCCGGGTCCTCGGGCAGAGTGACAGTGAAAGTCCACAGAGCCGCACGATCCCGTCCCTCCCTGTCCAAACACTGCCCCGTCAATGCCCTCAACTGCACACCTCGGCCGAGCTGCACTGGAGGAGGATAAGATTAGCGAGGAGGCTCGGCGTGCCCAGTTGTGAACTTAACCCACGCGGAACTGGGCGCAAGTGCGCTCGGTTGAACCGCAGCACACCCAAGCCAAGTTTGAGATCCCGAAAGCCCACAGGCGGCTCTGCCCCCCTCACGGGACTCAACGTGCTGATGCAGTTTCCTTCAAGGGACGCATTAGTGCACGTGCTATTTCCGCCACAGCATCCGGCACACAAGGGGTCCTTGCAAGCGCCAGGGGCTGCCTATCAGTTTGAAGGACGGGTAATGGAAAAGTCTGACCATTTCACCGGTACGTGTTTAACCTATGGGTTAAAAGAGATCGGCTGAGTGGCAGCTACCTGACAATCTTGGAGGGGCCAACAACAGCTCAAAATAAAATGCATTTTCTCAGCACCAATTTGCCATATTTTCATGTTTCCCAAACTCTGCCTTTTTTTTTTTTAAACCTTTCACATGACAAGGCGGGAGAAAGCAAATAGGCCAAGAGACCCTCTGGTAGATGGAATTCCACCATTACCATCACTTTCCTTCTTATTCTTTAACTTCCAGTTAGAGCCAGTTCTTAGGAAACACAATCGCTCCTGGCCACATTAACGCAGAGCTAAGCAGGCTGGCGTTGAGCAACCTGGCTTTTTCCCTCGAGACTGGAGCCAGACGGCATAACGGAACTGGGAGCCTGCGCAAGACAGCTGGAGGAGCCCCAGGTAGCTGGTGAGTACTGGGGCTTGGGGAGGAGGGGGAAGGAGAGGACGCCCGAGGATACCAGCAGCAGAGCGGGGAGCGCGGTGTTGGTAGAGAACTGTGTCCCCCATGCCACACAACCCCCTCATTCTATCTGGTGGCGTTTACATTTTGGAGGTGAAGCAACCTCGCTGACTTTGCATAATGAAGGATTACGCACGTATGCACACTGCCTTGGAAGAGGACAGATGTGTCTCAGATACATCCACGGCCATTCCGAGCCCTAGAGACCCTGGAGGACAGCGGTTCTCAACCTGTGGGTCTCGACCTCTTTGGGGAGAGGGTGAACGACCCTTTCACAGGGGTCACCTAATACATCCTGCATATCAGATATTTACATTATGATTCATAACAGTAGCAAAATGACAGTGATGAAGTGGCAACGAAAATAGTTTTCTGGTTGGAGGTCACCACAACATGAGGAACTGTGTTTAAGGGTCGAGGCATGAGGAAGGCAGAGAACCACTGCTGTGGGATGAAGGAGCATGTTGTCCATAGGTTTTCTAGGGCTGTAAGTCTGTATGGGAACAGACCGCATCAGCATCTCCCACAGAGCAGCTGGTGCATTTAAACCACCGACCTTAAGCTTAGTCACCTAATTTGTAACCCACTAAGTCTCCAGGGCTCCTCCTATTTGCATAGTTTCCCCAATGTTACTTGTCACAGTCAGATGAACGCACTAACTAACGCTCTGTGTCAGCCAAAGCAGCAGTAGGGATTTGAATGCAGAATTGATTGTCTTTCATTCCATACCAGTTTAGGTTTTTAAAAAAGAATAAGTGCTTCAAAAAATTGCTATCTAACTGATTATAGTAAGGGGACAATAATAACTCAGAATAAATATTTTACAGAGAGAAAAATGTCTTTTTTCTGAACGAAATATACAGCAAAGGCAAAGCAAATTTGCCTTATTCCCGATTGTCTAGAAAGACCCACCTACCCACCACCACAACCACCACCACACAACATCACACACACACACACACACACACACACCGCCACCACCACAATCACCATCACCACCACCACCACCATACAGACACAACACCACCATACACACACCCCACCACCACACACACCATACCACCACCACATACACATCATACCACAACCACACACAGACACACCACCACCACCACACACACACTACCACTACCACATACACATACAGATCAACGCGCGCGCGCGCACACACACAAAGGAAACACAACACATACAAACAGGAAAGTACTTATCGTGTGTGTGTGTGTGTGTGTGTGTGTGTGTGTGTAGTCATGCATAATCACGTTTTTGGTTGCCAGGTGTCAATGAAGTCTTGGAAATAAGCTACTTATTTCTGAGATTAATAATGAGTACAGTTAAGTCTTTATATCAAAGATAAATACCAGCGACATTGTGAGGGCAGTACTGGTTAGTTCTTCAAAGACAATGAGGGTTTACACAATTGGAGTCAGGGTGGAGGTGGTCAAAAAAGATTTTGCCTAGAATGAATTTTTGCTATTGAGGGTTCAGACAATTGGAGTTGGGGTGGGAGTCAAAAAAGATATGTGCCTAGAAACAATTTTTGGCTGCCATTTCTATTTTAACCAGCTATTTATAACTTTTACTTTATGAGCATGAAAGGGCTAGAAGGAAATAAAATAGACATTTTTTGAATAATTCAATTTATTGTGACATTGTTAAGCATTTATTATAGCAGAAAATTTGTCGTAAATGTATGACTGCACAGGAAACAGAGATATTCCATCGCTAAAACAAATACATCACTTCTAAAGTTAAAACAGAGCCTATATCCCAGGGAGGAAAAAAATCTAAAATCTAAACATTGTTCTTTCCTAATACTTATCTACATGATTCCTGGCTGCCATGCAGTCTCCATAAAATCCTTGCATCTTGCCAGTAACAGATCTTACATTTCTCGGGCTCAAAATAAGGATATGTCTTTGCGTCTGGAATATTCCAGATTCCAAGATTCCAGATGTTACAATTAAAAAATTTAGGTCTCGGTGCCTGATGCAAAAATGGAGACTTTCCTTGATAGAAGACAGCTACTCAGAGTCAAATGAAAAGTCATAAATTGACAAGTGGGAGGATTTAGACATAGGCCCCTACTGAGACACCAAGTCACCATTGACAGGTGGAGTGGGGTGAGGCTGGGTCTAAACTTCAGAGACTGCAAGAACGAAGAGTGTCCTTATCTCCTGTGAAAACGCATTGCCCCAGGAAGCCAAAGCCGCCTGCGGAGAGTGGGTTTCAGAACAATGGCTGTTGCGAAATGGCCTGGTCACAGACTACAAACCAGCAAAAGTTTGCTTAGATGGGAACAGCAGTTTGTTTGTTTTAATCAGCTATCTCTGATAAGAGTTTCACCGTAATAATTCTTTTTTCAGAGTGATACATTGCACAAGAGTGTAGCAAAAGGAAATTTAGCAACTGGACTGGTGTACTTAAGACACATTGTAAACTTATATGTCTTAAACAGGGCTTTTACTACCTTCATTTACTACAATAATCAACTGTTAAGGATTTCTCTGGGCAGAAGCGCTTCAAACTAATGTCGGCAATTTATTTGAATTGCCTTCAAATATTATTTGATTCAGAGGTGAGGTCCACCAAGAGGAGCCCTGGTGGACCACTGGGTTCTGCGTTGCACTGCAAGGCCAGCAGTTTCAACCCACTAGCCACACTGTGGGAGAAAGACGAGGCTCTCTGCTCCTGCAAAGATCTACAGCCTCGGACACTCACGGGGCAGTTCTAATCTGTCCTTGAAGGTCGCTATGAGTCGGAATCAACTCGATGACGGTGACGTAGGTTGTGGTTTTGAGAAGACTATTTTCTGAAAGGGAGGGAGGAGATCACAAGTCGGTATACAGTATAAAGCTAACAGCATCCAGCGACAGTACAGCTTTTACTCACCCAGTCTCAGGTACCTTCTAGAGTACAGAAGTCCAATTATTGTCAAAATAAAATTTAAAAGACCCAAAGAAATTGAATGACAACCCATGTGTATGACCTAAAGGACAGTGCGCTTAAAATTGTAAATTGCCACTTTATCTATGGATTCAGAATAATACTCTATAAAAATCCTAGCTAGCCGTTTCTAGAAATTGCTCCTCAAACCTAAAATTCAACAGTCGAGGTCCACGATCTTGCCATCCAGGGCCTGGAGGTC